ACCCCAATGAGAAGATGGCACGAACCAAATTTCATATTCAGAAAAATTGTATTAAATAAACTAAAAATAAAATACTTTGAGACGTCGGATCTAAAATCAAACGGTGAGTGGCTCTCTTGATAAAAAATGGACGACTAGATAATAAGGGGAGGGTAGAACTTCTATGTTGTAGTGGAAACATAGAAAGCTTTTTCAGCTTTCAGATCTAGATTAAGAAGATCCTCAAAAAGAAGGTAATACCCAAAATAATATATATAAAGAAGATCTTCAAGGAAAAGTATAGAATGAGACCATTTACCTTTGATACAAGGTGGTCACAGTAATCATGACAATTGGATGTGAATTTGAGTGGATGCAATTAATCCATTGACCAAGCTCAAACTTTAAAATAAATATTCTCAAACTTTGTGATACATCAAAGCTATCAAATTTCATATCAAATGGTTGTAAGGAGTTGTGACCACATTGTATCAAAAGTAAATGGTCTCATTATATACAATCTCGATCTTTAATGTGGTCATAAAAAAAAAAAAAGAGAGGAGTAATGGTTATAACTTTTAGGGGAAAGCTTTCTATGTTCTCCTACAACATAGAAGTTCTATCTTCTCATTTATCCAACCGTCTATTAAAAAACCGTCCGTTTTTTAATGGAGGGCTAAGATTGCTCCAATCACAATGTCATGTCTCTACACTATTTTTTTTTTTTTTTTATTTATAAACTATTTTGACACCAAATTTTGGACGTCCATTCCTTTATTAAACTCACACTAACAAAAAATAATTTAAAAATAAAATGATCAAAATACCCCTGAAATCTATAAGGGGTATTTTGGTCATTATTTTTATCGAAAAATGATTGTTAATATTTTTTATAGGTGCACCCCAATGAAAAGATGGCACGAACCAAATTTCATATTCAGAAAAATTGTATTAAATAAACTAAAAATAAAATACTTTGAGACGTCGGATCTAAAATCAAACGTTGAGTGGCTCTCTTGATAAAAAATGGACGGCTAGATAATAAGGGGAGGGTAGAACTTCTATGTTGTAGTGGAAACATAGAAAGCTTTCTCAGCTTTCAGATCTAGATAAAGAAGATCCTCAAAAAGAAGGTAATACCCAAAATAATATATATAAAGAAGATCTTCAAGGAAAAGTATAGAATGAGACCATTTACCTTCGATACAAGGTGGTCACAGTAATCATGACAATTGGATGTGAATTTGAGTGGATGCAATTAATCCATTGACCAAGCTCAAACTTTAAAATAAATATTCTCAAACTTTGTGATACATCAAAGCTATCAAATTTCACATCAAATGGTTGTAAGGAATTGTGACCACATTTTATCAAAAGTAAAAGGCCTCATTGTATACAATTCCGATCTTTAATGTGGTCATAATATATATATATATATATATATATA